TACTGGCGTACCATTGAGTCCCTTGGCGGCACACTAGGCCTTTCTTGAATTAATCGTAATCGCTGTCTGTAAATGCTCGGTGAAAATTTGCGAATTTGCAGGTACCTTTGACGCTACAGGATTTATTGGAGTAAGAACCAAACGATGAGTACCATCACACGACGCTACCATCTTCATATAAATTCCACCACGAATTTAGGTGGTGCGCTGACGACCGATTTCCGCTCTCTTCTTATATTGAAGTTTGGTGTCCAGAACGTTGACAATCTTATCGTCGGACCATTCGATCACAATAAGGAATTCAGTCATCTGCTTTGGCCTAGCTTCTACAAAACATACGCAACACGATTCTGTCAGGTGTGTTTGTAGAATATTGCCTGTGAATATTTGACCAGTAGACCTGGAAGAAAAATGTTAAAAAAACTCCGACCCAGTCGACCGTGTCGTCGAATGTGGTGGGCTACTGATTCCGTACGTTCCTTTAGTTTTAATTCTCCACGTTAGTCACCTTACCGATTGATTTTCGAGCGTTTTCAGGGAAAAGTTTCTTTGAATTGATATCGTGATTCTATTGGGGGTACCTCATTCGTCAGCCTACAATCCTAGAACCACATGAATGCGAGTTGAGCTGGAAAGACGCTCTCGAATGACTTGCGAATAAAATTAGGACATGAACTTTCAGAGGAAAAATTCTGGCTTAATTCTCGAAAACAAAACTGACACAGCATACTCATTGGTTGGAAGAGCGAAATTTGGAAAGAGACCGATGCGTTTTGGGATGGTTCATTAGTGGAATACGGCCACGGAGCGGCCATTACTATGCATAGGACATTACTGATAGGCTTCTTCCAGGGTAGCATAGAAAATGAAACTTGCTCGTTTCTTTCCCTACTTCTTGTTGATGGTGTCCTTCTTTTTGCAAGCCCATAATCCAGTAAGTTCGCGATGAATATGGATGGGATACAAGATTGTAACGCGGACAAGATCTTTTAAACGATGTATGGAAATAACGTCAAAACGTGAGATCTAAGGGAAAAGAATCCGTAGTATCTAAATTGTTCATTGGACAACCTCGAACTTATGGAGAATGCCCACGCCTAATAAAAGAAGGCAAAAAACTGCGAATAATTTGATAATTTCACCGCGGGCTGATCGTATGAGCGGACTTTGCGCCTTATCTCCCCAGAATTCTCATTGGTTATCCCTATCTCTCGCGTACTATACCGTATCTTATAAGAAGCAGTTATGACCTATAAGATTTCTGAAGGGGCGGAGCGCTTACAACTCCCCCCACCTTCGACACGATCAGCGCCCAGTGTGATTAAACGGTTTTTAACACTTTTTATGTTCCGGTTGGTTACTGGTACACCAGTTATCAAAAGTACACTTAACTTTTTTATTCCATATGCATTTAAATTTGGGAAGACATGTTTTTATGAAATGTTTACCAACTGCTATTCAAAGTGGAACTTTCAACTCAGTCTTTAATTCAATGTGTTAAGGTCAACATCATCTATCAACACATGGGTCTCGTCAGCTTGAAGTTTTTCACGAAGTCATTTCATGACATTCTTTATGCGGGATCATTATCATCATTCTTCATTGTCAGAACTTCGAAGTCCGCTGATAACAAATATATGAATTTGTTTGCAATTAATTTCATGGAGAACTATTGCGTCGAGCGCTACTTTAAGCCTACCCTCGAATTTGAAACGAAGATCTGACAGTGAATATGGAGTGTGAGGAACGAGTGGGTCACTGCTTGTAGAAAGAGAGTGCTCCGTGTACTGTGGCAATCCGTTTTCATCCTTTATTATGCAAACCTGAGCCCTCTACCTTGTTGCAGAGCTGGCACAAATGGCTGGAAGAAGAGTTAGAAAGGGGTGGTGTTCTGGTTAAAGTGGAATTCAATTAGACCAATGTGAGGCAGCATATTACACTATGGCCTCTGCGCCTTTTCAATCATGTTGTCCAAATTCTATTTGATCGACTAATTCTATTTATAATTGTAGCTCATTGCTGTAGCTCAGTCGGCCGCTGATACTACAATATGACTATACTTTTCAACAATCTGTAGAAGTATTCGAATACAACGTCGAGCAGTTGATCGATTCTTTCCTAACCCCTAATCTCTGCCGACCTCATTACTCAATGCTTTAATCTGTTCGGTTTACCTCAGCTGAACTTGTTACAGAGGTTTTTTTTACGATGTGCATGAATCAGTTTCT